ACTGTCGACTCAGTGACTGTAAAGTACCCAGCTCCTGTGGCCACAATCAAGCCCAAATCATGACCTCTTCACCACCACGCTTGACATTTTTAATCAAGTATTTGTGCTGTTAGGCTGTATTTTGGTTTTGCCAAACGTGGCACTGTGCATTATGGCCAACCAATCTCCAATCTGTTCAAATGACATTGCTCCAGAGTTCTTGTGGTTTGTTAAGATTCAACTTCTCTCTTTCCAGAGAGAAGAGGCTTTCCTAGTCTTTCTTTGATTGTCATGATCTTTAACATGCTGAGGCCTGAAGAGTCTGAAATATAGCTCTTGAATTTTTTGCAGTTTCTCTTAAGGGGAATTTCCTGGGATCTCCTCTCCAGGTAAGATTGTGGTATTGTGTTAGCACACACCAGAATGGTCCAGATCAGCAAACTGCTATTTAAACTTTGCCCCTATTTAAGCGATTTCTTGATTCGGTTGGTCTGGAAGATTCTTCTGCCAGTATCCCCAAGAAATACATGTGTAAAATGCAGTAATATTACAAATGGTTTGGTAATTATTTTGTTTACCTATCATGAAATTTTATTTCCCATCTAATTTTTCAAAAATGTACACTAGGGTGGCAGAAAAGATGAAAAATAAGCGCATGAATGGAGACATCTTCGACAGCTAACATGTACTCTTCACACTCACGCTGCGAATTCAGAGAGAAAGCATCAAATCTATATTTATGCCCTTCAAGCCACTTCAAAACACCCACCACAAACAGAGTGAATCACACCCACACATCATAGGCATATACATGCACATACGGTTTAACAGCATTTACATTAACATAGTTGTGCATACATAGATATGTGCACATGTGCATGCACAAGTCACACACACACAATTATTTTAGTGCCTTTGCAGTCTTTAACCTTTGGTCTACACAGCACTACACACACTAATTATTTCTAATTAACCTCAAACCAGGTCCTAACCCTAATATAACCAGGTCATACCCTCACCCCGATGCTCCTAAACTCCCACTGTTCCTCACAAAGATTATACAGGAGCACACACATTCATGCACACAGTACGTGACGGCACGCAGGCATGTGCACGCATACACGCATACAGACAATGGAGTGATTTCCCCCGTCGTCTGATCTGGTTCATGTCTTCCTGGAGAGGAACAAGAGATAATAAAGAAAGAGAGGGAATCGATTCTAGATGCTCCAGTTCACTCCAGTTTCTTCCAGTTCCCTCCCACACCAACCTCACAGCCCTGTCACAGCCGAGGGAGTTATTTTGTAAAAGCTACAGTGCACATTTACCCTGGAAAAAAAGCTACTGAAAATCATTCAGTTGCTGTTTCAGAAGCAGAAATATGCCCTGTTGAAATACTTCTGGCTGTTCTACAACTCGCAGCATTTATGTGAGGAAAAGCCTCTGTGATGTGATCACCATAATAGTGTGCTCATCAGGAAATTTGACTCACTCTCGGTTAGTTAGAAAGCACGATACTGTATATTTAAAGCACGCTGATTTGCAGTGGATGGATTCAATGGATTCAAGCTTAAGCAACAGAGTCACTGCATTGTTTCACTGTTGAGATCAAGCACTCAGGCCTATGCTGTTATCCTGGTGGATGCCAACATGCATTTCCTCACTTGTTGAGAATATGACAAAGGATGACTCATCTAACCATACTGCTTCTTTCACCTCTCTGTGCCTATCGTTTTTGCACCACTATACTCTCAAAAGTGCATTCGCTGTTGTTACGAGGGTTTTATATATCCATCTATAATATCCCTCTATATTTAACATAATATAGAGAATTTTTGCTGACTCGGATCTGGTTCTGTTGTAACTTTATGACTCTCTCATCAAATTAAATGGTTTTCTGTTTTTTTCCCTACATATTTGAAACTATAATTTGCTGCACTGATTTCTTTATCATAGAAAAAAATACACACATTTAGCTTTTGTTACTATTTCTGGTGAAACACTACAGTGTTTGTGAGTCCTGTCATCAGTGCTTCAACTATGAGGACCATTTTTGGACACAAGCCAGCAGACCACAGATGGGTTATATGTTTTTAATCAGAGTTACTGAAAACAAATGTAATCAATGTTTCACAAAACATAGGAAAGCTTAAGTTTCCATTTTTGCTTCCAGCTGTTTGCAGGAGTCTTGTGAGTTTATTAAATACCTGCAACTTTGTAGGTTTACCTACAGCAAGAGAATCAAAGTGAGGGTTCCCAGAATTATTATTTATTCAGAATTATGAATTCTGTTTAGTCAAATTTGGACTTTTTAAGTCATTTGTTACATAACAGCCATCCAGTTAAATAAAAAAAGATGTTTTTCTCTTGCAATTTTGATAGGAAATCAGGACCAACTGGGCTACAGCTCTTAAATACTACAGATCATGACTGAATGTTAATTATTTAAATGTACCGGCAATCTGAACATTTAAGTAGGATTATACTGGCACACTCTGAAGGTTTCTTGAAATGTGCAAACATGAATGGAAACAGTATATAATGTAAAATAAAGCAGCCTTCAGGAATACTTCTCAAAGCTTCTTGGAGGTCATTCAATGCTCTTCTTTGGATGTTGGGTGCATTTTGATCTGTTCTCTGTCAAGATGATCGCATACTGCTTCAATTATCTTGAGGTCCAGGATTGAGGGGGGAAATCCATGACAGTGTTTCACTGTGTGAATTTTTGTACAAGTGTGCTGTTACTGCATTTGCAGTTTGGGATCACTGTCATGCTGATAAATGAACCCGTTGCCAGTCAGATACTTTCCCAGTGGTAATGCATGGTGGACCAAACTCTGATGGTACTTTTCTGGGTCCATCAAGATTTTCATCAAGATTGGCTGCAATGCAACCCCAAACCATGACAGACCCTCCACCATGCTTTACAGATGGCTCTGGACACTCACTGTTATACCTCCCTCCTTGACCTCCTCCATACTTATAGACAACGATTTGGAGCTCAACTTTCAAATTCATCACTTCGTAAGACCTGTTGTCACAGATTTTCAGTCCAGTTCTTGGATATGTCTTTGGTCAACATTGGTTGTTGATCATTGGTCATGACAATTAGCTTATTAATGACCAAAAAACTGACCTCACAGCCCATTGTTCCTTCAGTGGTGCTAGTTTCTGTCATTATGCAAATGTAATTCAATTCAATTCAATTCAATTTTATTTATATAGCGCCAAATCACAACAAAAGTCGCCTCATGTACTGTTTATAAGGTTGGGGAAACCTGCAGTCAGCTGAAGAAGTCACTTGGATGAGTGACGAAACGTTTCTCCCACTGAAAACACTACGTCCAGATGAACAGAATCAACATTTTGGCAGTTCTAGTATAATTTGACATACCTCAGACTTTTCTTCCCTTTTTCCTCTGCTTAAGAACGGTTTACTGACAGCCACAATTTCGGATGAGGCTTCAATAAACAGTAAATAGATCAATTGAAGGGTCAGATGCATCTCTCAGGTCTGTATCAGGTCTTTGCTGGATTTTGTTTTCCTGTTTCTTAAGGAGATGACTTTCATATATTGTCCAGCTGCTGTAAATAGTTTGCAGGCCCACCACTTCTTCTACAAAGAAATGAGGGCTGGCTCAATACTTATGCACAGCACTGTGTATAATATATTTTTATTGTCCAAAAGAGAAGGATGGAGGAGCCGTTGCACATAAAAGCATTGACGATTTATGTCTATCTGCAAGAATGCATAAGAAAAAAACCACTCTATTCAGTGAGCACCATTATTGTCTTGCTTTGATACAGTTCGTAGGCACATTAAAAACCTTACAAATTACATTACATAGAAAAAAGTCAAAAGGAGGAGGCTCATCTGTCTAATCCATTTAGAACCTCAACACTGTACATCACACTGCGTACTGCCATAAAGACTGAAAGAGATGTGTTCTTCGTGCAGTGCACTTACTCCCACGACTCTGCTGAAATTTTGTTGGGGAAGACAAAGGAGATAAGGTGAGGAGGAACAGAATACATGGGATAACTATTAGGAAGGAAAAGGGGAGCTGAACAGTGAAAAATACAGGGAAAAAAGAGGAGCAGAGGAAAGGATGAGACTGGTTTCTATGATGTCGAGCTTTGGGACGTGTAAATGTAGAGACAAACTTGTGGTCTTGTGCCATCTTGTGGTAAAAGTGGACTTCCATCGTTGAAGTACACTCACCAGACACTTTATTAGGCACATGTTGCTCATACTAAGTTGGACTGCCTTTACCTTCAGAACTGCTTCAATTCTTCATGGCATGGATTCAACAAGGTGCTGGAAACACTTCAGAGATTTTTATCCATGGGCATGATGGAAGCTTTGAATTCAGTAAACATCTTGACATAAACCAGAAACCAGTTTGAGAGTTTTGACATGGTGTGTTATCCTACTCGAAGTAGCCATCAATAGATAGCATTGTTTAAAAGCCTGCCCGAGTGTACCTTAGTCGGTATTAAGGGGCCTAAGGTTTGCTAAAAATATATCCCCTACACCATTACTCTATTACCACTAGCAGCCTGAATCGTTGACACAAGGCAACACAGATCCATGCACTGATGTTGTATATTGCCAAATTCTCACCCTTTCATCCGAATGTTGAGGCACCAATTGAAACTCAGACCAGGCAACATTTCCCTGTCTTCTTTTCTCCAATTTTGGTGAAACTGTACAAACTCTAGACTCTGTTTCCTGTTCTTAGCTGATATGAGTAGCACCTGGTGGGTTCTCCTGCTGCTGTAATCCATCTCCATCAAGGTTTGACATGACATGTTGTGCATTCAGAGATGCTCTTTTGCACACTTCTTGGCTGTAGTGAGTGTTACTGTGAAAGGACATGACTTACATTGAACAGCACACACGTTTCAGTCCTTTTATTGTCCGGAATCAACGTCTACGGGCAATTACACGCACAAAAAGGCTTGATTATAAAATGTTCTTTCTGCTAAAAAAAAGAAGAAGAAGAAGAAGAAGAAGAAAGTTTTCCATCTTTCCAATAATGTTTTAATGCAAACTTTAAAGAAAACACTGATTGTCAAACTGCTGCATTTAACTTTCTTTTAGCTTTTATCTCCAACATAGATACATGGATACTACTGATATGGAAAGACAACACGATCCCACTTCCTGTTTATTTCAGAGAAACTGTGGAAAGACAAAAGTACATATTCATACAGTAAGCTGCAACTTATCTCTGTACATGGCTGTTATTTTAAACGTTAAGACAGCAAACAGCCATAAAACAGACTGAAACATGTTTTTAAGTCATTACATAATTAGAAGTTGGAAATTCCAGTTTTAAAGACATCGAACAGTTTTTCCTTAATGGGCAGTGCAAATAAAAACCACTTTCACATATAAATAATAAGCCTCTCATTAAGCACAAAGTTGGATGTGTTATATTATTTGCAATCTCTGAAAAGGAGAATCTAAGTATTTCAATAAACTCTTGCATACTAGTCAAATACATATATTAAACATTTAATTACCTGGACACTGAAACACTACTAAAATACTCTGACCACATTTAAAACATTTTTTAAGGATGAACGTAAACATTGCAAAGATCCGTTTTTTACTGTTTGCTTCTGTTTTTAAAGCTTTCTTTTTAACTACTGCATTTAGTGGTGTCACTAAAGCAGACAGATTCAGTGCTTTTAAGTCTTAGGTCACTCCTATTTTGCATCTAAAAATGACACATTTGATGTTTGACATGGTCCATTGTGCAGTGAAAACAGTCACACCTGTATTTGGTTTATCTCTCCCCTTGGTCTGAATCATAGCATATAACCTTTAGCGCAAAGCTAACTGGTGTTTGCAGGAATGGATCAGCAGATACAATTTAAGTTGAAGTCTCAGTTTAGTGACGTTTTGTAGACAGTGACATCCCATTATTTAGCGAAATATCTCATTTCAGATGGTCTCAGCTCATTCGCACAGGCCTAGAGACTCATCAGGCCATCTCCCCCGGCAACCTCTAGTTGCTAGGCAAAACTGTGTATTTGGCAACCACTTGGCAAGTGGCTCCTGGAAGTTGGGGAAGGTTGCCAGGTGACATCAGCGTGATTGTTTTGGTCACTATTAGATTGCCACAGTTTCCCGTAGCTTGCATGGAAGACAGCAATTTGTTTGCAAGCAGCCTTGACTTGAAAAAGCGCACCACAAACAGGAAACAGAGAAGGTTCACCTTCAAAGTAAAAGTTCTGCCTTACCACTGGAACCAACACATTTCAAAAGGCCCAACTTTTACTTTGAGGGCAAATGTGCTCCGTTTCTGGTTTGTGTTGCACTTTTAACAGTTTCACTACAGCTGGGTGAGCAGTTTTCAAGTGTTTGCAGACAAGTTAGCATCTTCCTTGAAAAAGCAACCAGAAAGAGGTTTTTGTTGCAGAACTGTATATCTCTTTAAACCACTCTCAAAAACTTGTTGAGAACACGGTTTTCCCTCGTGACCAGTGGCTGTCCAATGGTCACCGACCAGTCTCTAGATGCCTAAAACACCACTTTCAAAAATACATTGTGTGCAAACATTTTAAATCCTTCTAGATTGTCTTCAGATTTTAAGACTCTTCAGTCATTGACTTTTTTTTTTTCATGGAATACGTCTTAGTAAGTCCTAAGTGGACCGTTTCTCCACACCCTGCTTAATTCCCAGGACCAGATGAACAAACCAGTTAATCTGAACCATCCAGCCTTTCTCCCTGCAGATCTCTATCTGGTCCAGCAGGTGGCGCTGTGCCTCATCTTCACTGCGACCAACAGTCAGGGCCTCGCGGATGTACTCGATGTCCTCCTTACTAGTCAGCTGAGGCATCCCTGTTAATGAACAAAAAATAAGTGTCTTTTTTTAAGTCAAAGCATGAGCATGTCTTAGTTTCACTTCACTTCGGTATCAATATCTAAAAAAATTTAAAATCTGTTTAAAACTACTTGTCACCGGTGAGCCAGTCATGGGTACAACTGGACCAACCTGTGAGAATGACATTATTATTATTTTTTTAATAACTGGATGTTGTGGTATCAGGAGGAGATTGTACCAGTCATAAGCATCATGGAGAAAAGAATGATGAGCAGGTTGGTGTGATGCCGAAGGGCGAGGTAAGCCTTCACGCACACGTCCTGAAACACAGAGGATGTTCATATAGACAAATGTGACTAACTGGTGTTTGCATGAATCTGCATGAATTTAAGAATGGGACGTGTGTGTTCCTGCATCTATATTGTATTGACATGAAAAAAAGCACCTGGAACTTCTGGAAGTGGGGGCTACTTTTCTTCCCCGAAGTTCCCATAACATACAGGAAGTCTGGTGTGAGCACAAAGGGAACCCACTCCTTACTGATTCCCATGAAACTCTTGTAATTCCCCAGGATGTGACCAAAGTCGATGTGGAAGAGATTCCCTGCAGAAACACAAAGGAGGTCTGTTAGTGTGGTGCCACTCGAGTTTCATTTCTTTCTAAAAATAGCCCATTTTTGTAATTATTTAATCTGTATTTTGTCTGACAGTGACGTGAAAACGCAGATGTAAGATTACCAGATTCAGTGATCATGATGTTGTCGTTATGGCGATCCCCAATACCCAGGACGTATGTAGCCACACAGTATCCACCACAGGAGTACAGGAACCTCTCCACAGCCTGCTGGAACTACAACACAGACAACAGAGTTTTTAGCTCCGTTTCCATGCAATCATGTTCTCGTGTACGACAACATCCGGGCTGTAACCCATCCAGCTTTGATTAGTGAGCTTCACACTAATACTGCAGCTGTTAAAAACATGCACAAGGACATTCAGCTCCTCATGTTTAATCATCACGACTAAAGCCCTTACACTGACCTAAGCCTAACTTTATCTTAACCCTTTAAACCAAGTCTTAAATCTCAAAGAGGTCTTTGAAAGGGGTGTGGGAAAAACGAAACACCATCACTCTACAGCCTAAAAGTGTATCAAAGATAGACTATTACACACTATGTTTCTAAATTCTGTGTCAAATTTATTAATTTTCATCTTCAGTTTTCTTGAACAAATGACTTGCGTCGCACAGTCTCCAGTTTGCATGAGCAGTTGTTATGAAAGCTCCAACACAGAATCTGCCCACTGGGAACATGCAGAGGCACAAACACACACACACACACACA